AAGCTGGTTTGTTGCCAGAAGTGACCATTTCATTTTTCCCTTTGCCAGTGACTTATAAAACTCTTGGCATAGTCACCTCCAAAATTGTACCATTCCTGTTTAGTTTTTTGTAATGGTGTCACTACCTGTGCTGTCTTTTATACAGTTAGGTCCATATACATTTGGACACAGACACAATTTTAGTGTTTTCAGGTATTTACCAAAACATATTCAAGATATAGTTATATAATGGATATGGGCTGAACGTGCACACTCTCAGGTTTAATTTGAGGGTATGTACATCCAAATTGGAGGAAAAGTTTAGGAATTACAGCTCTTAAGAGTAGCCATCCCCCCTTTTTTAAGGATTCAAAAGTAATTGGACAGTTGAATATAATCATAAATAAAATGTTCATTTTTAATATTTTATTGAGAATTCTTTACTATCAATGACTGCCTGAAGTCTGGAACCCATGGACATTACCTGGCTGGCTTTCCTCCTTGCTGATGCTTTGCCAGGCTCTAACTACAGCCGTCTTCAGTTGTTCTTTGTTTGTTGGTCTTTCTGCCTTTAGTTTTGCCTTCAGCAAGTGAAATGCATGCTCAATTTGGTTGAGATCAGGTGACTGACTCGGCCATTTCAGAATATTCCACTTCTTTTCCTTCAAAAGCTCCTGGAATGCTTTTGCAGTGTGTTTTGGATCATTATCCATCTGCACTGTGAAACACCGTCCAATCAACTTTGCTGCATTTGGCTGAATCTGGGCTGACAGTATATCTCTAACACTGCAGAATTCATCTGGCTGCTTCTGTCTTCTGTCACATCATCAACAAACACCAATGACTCAGTGCCACTGGAAGCCATGCATGTCCATGCCATCACACTGCCTCCATGGTGTTTTACAGATGATGTTGTGTGCTTTGGATCATGAGCTGTTCCAAGCCTTTTCCACATTTTTTCCTTCCTATCATTCTGGTACAGATTAATCTTAGTTTTATCCGCCCAAAGAATGTTTTTCCAGAACTGGTCTGGCTTTTTTAGATGTTTTTATGGCAAAGTCTAATCTGGCTTTTCTGTTCTTCAGGCTTATGAATGGTTTGCACCTTGTGGTGAACCCTCTGTATTTGCTCTTGTGAAGTCTTCTCTTGATTGTAAACTTTGACAATGATACACCCACCTCCTGGAAAGTGTCCTTCACTTGTCTGGATGTTGTGAATTTTTCTTTACCATAGAGAGGATCCTGCGATCATCCACCACTATTGCCTTCTGTAGGCGTCCATGCCTTTTTATGTTGCTGTGCTCACCAGTGCGTTCTTCTTTCCTCAGAATGTACCAAACTGTTGATTTGGCCACTCCTAATGTTCCTGCTGTCTCTCTGATGAATTTGTTTAATTTTTGAAGCCTTACAATGACCTGTTTCACTTGCATGAACAGCTCCTTTGAATGCATAATGTAGATTCACAGCAGTAGATTCCAAATGCAAATACCACACTTAGAATCCACTCCAGACCTTTCACCTGCTTAATTGATGAAGAAATAACGAAGGAGTAGCCCACACCTGCCCATGAAACAGCTTTTGATTCAACTGTCCAATTACTTTTGGTCCCTTGAAAAAGGGGGGATGGCTACTTTTAAGAGCTAAAATTCCTAAACCCTTCTTCCAATTTGGATGTACATACCCTCAAATTAGACCTGATAGTGTGCACTTTCAGCCCATATCCATTATATAACTATTGCTTGAATATGTTTTGGTAAATACCTGAAAAAAACTAAAATTGTGCCTGTGTCCAAATATATAGGGACCTAAATGTATATGTAGATTTTTTCAGGCTGCAGATACAAGGATGCACCTTCAAGGTGTGACATAAGAACAAGTATCTCAATTTGCTGCATAGCTTTCTGTATTTAAAGACAATAATTAAACAATGCAGGGATGCAAAGCTTGTATCCATGCATGTTTTAATTATTGTCTATGCTGTCAGGAATGGCTAAGATAGAGCCTAAAATGTGGGGACTGTGGTAAAGGCAGAATTACAGACTGGAGCAACTGTCTAATGCCACTAGGGGTACAGTGAGTAGGAAAAGCCCTGAATGGATTAAAAATATTACTTAGAATAAAGATGAGTTAGATATTAGGTCTGCAGTAGGATACAGGTTAAAATTGATGAGAGCATATTTTCTCCTTGATCCTGAAGTGGCTGTACCAAGAAACAAACATATATGTACAAAAGTGTTTTCATGGAGCCACATAAGAAACCCTCAGCAAAACCATATTATTACTTTTACACAAAGCATCACTCAGACATGGAATTACCCTCATTTTACTTAGCAAGAAAAGTCATGCAAAACATACTGTAGTCAAAATAGCAGAAAATGAATGGTCAACCTTGGTGAACCTACATCTTTTTACAACCTAATAACTAAATGCCTGTATAAATATAGGTTGCCAGAAGTTTTAGACATAAAGACAGGACATATTTCTGAGACCCAGCATTTAATTCAGCAGTGAACAGGTTAAATATCATATTCACCCCTCTCCTCCCCCTTCCCTCTGTGAACTAAACAAATCCAACGCTGACCATATTAAATACGAAATAAATAATAATACCATAAATAAATTGCTTAAAAAAATAAAAATAAAAATTAAAACATTGCACACAATATATTTATATTTATATATACTCTTCGAGAATAGGCTAATTTATACCGTTAATAAGAGGATCAGTATTCCCCCCACACACACACATACGTAAAGAAGAGCAGTACAATTTCATCTCCTGCCTGTATTGCAATGGAAAGCTGCAGTCTAAAGAAAGCAGCATATTCTCCCTTATTCTGTCTTCTCTGTCGAAGTGTTTTGGAGTTATTTTTTAGGTGTCACACTGTGGAATGTCACATGGAACCAAACTGGATTCTAATGCAAAATGTCTATCAAGACAGTCAAGCTGTTTCATGACTTTAGTTGATTCAATTTTCACAGAGTCCTTTGGTGAAATTTAAATCCTGAAATAAGTTGTCATCAAGAGCTGCTTGGTTGTGTCATCTACGAACAATAATGTTTTTGGGCTTATCCTCATTATTAACGTTTTCTGTTCTCTGATACAGCATGAAGGACTTTTCACATGACAGTAAGAATAATTCTGAGAAGTTCTGCATAGTGAGCAAGTTAGACCTCTTTTTATAGAACCATATCCTGCTATATTTTTAAAAGATCGGAGGGACAAGGATTTTGGCTTTTGGGTCCTCTTCAACAAAATCAGTGTATGTCCCATTTCCCTCTTTTGTGATTAAACATTTGGTTTTCCTTTGAGGTTTCTGCTGCCTTTCAAAACCCAGTTCTAGAGTACAACAGACTGATGATAACTTGGAATTTTTTCAACAAATATAGTTGGCACGCAGCAGCTAATTGGATGATTGAAAAGCATATCTTGAGCTTCATGGCTTGGTCCTTTGTTGTTTTTTTTTTCAGACATTTTCCCCTTGTTTATTATGTTGTAGTTTTCTATCAGCATCTAAACCTTCCAATTTTTAATATAGGTTCAGCCAACTAAGGTACTTTCTATGTATAGTATCTATGAAACTAGAATCCCCTGCTCTCTCAAATAGTGATAAGCAAAAACAGTTGGTGTTGGTGAGAGCATTATCCAGAACATCAGAGCTTAACAACAATCCTAGCTGTTGACTGCCTCGCAGTTTGTATTCCAAAGATATTCCATTGATGGTTTCTTGTTGAAAAATTCTGTGCAATCGCTGGGTAATGCAAATGTTTGCCAGATGTAACCTGGGTCTGGACTTGACTAAATACAATCATTTGCCTTGAAATAAACAGATTTCTTGTTGAGTTTCCACAACATGCCTTTAAAATGTCATTATCAGCCTGTTATTATATTTTATTTACCGCCATGTCACCTTCAAATAGACAATGGAATGTATTTAATGTGATCTGTAATTAGCAGTTGGGTAGTACTCTTTATCACAACTTAAATCTAAGAACCCCTAGAAAGTTAATTTTTTATAAATTCCTGAAAGTACACTTTATCTTCTCTTCAAATGCAGTCAACAAAACCATTAAGTGACCTGGAGTATTCATAGGATGAACATCGATGGGCAGTGGAGGACAGGTCAGACTACCTAGAAGTCTTTGCTCCCATGAATCCAGCATGGTGTTTTCTGCATGTCCATTGTTCTTAAATCTTTTTCTTGTAAGATAGTTTCCTACAACCAGGAGAGATGTGTGTGGATGGGGGGCAGAGGTGGTTTCGGTTACAGGAGTGGTTCAGAATTGGCTTCCCAGAAGCCCAGACTCTTATTGACGGAATAAAGATAACTGGTGGAGAGACTTTCCCAGAAGTCTCTGCTCTCACAGACAGAAATTGACAGACAGGAGACATAGGCCTTTCCAGAAGCCTCTGTTTTTACAAACAGAAAGTGACCATTGCTGAATATTAAGAAGGCTTTCCCAGAAGCCTTTACTTTCATGGTCAAAATATGACTGAAGTGGATTAGTGACAGGCTTGCCCGGAAGCCTTAACTTTCACAAAGGGTTACAGATGCAGGGATCTTCCCAGAAGTCCCTGCTTCCACTGGACAGAAAGTGACAAAACTTTTCTTTTTTTTTCCCAGGAATCCTTTGATGTAGTGACCAGTCTTGTTAACCTTCTTCATAGTACTCCATAATATCAATGGATACAAAGTGGCATAGACACATAATGGCTTTTACTAGAAGTCTTTGCTGTTTCTAAGTGGGAATGGCATATGGTGGTTTGCCGAAAAGGCTTCAATATGTGTTGCTCTCCCAGGAAAAGAAAATATACTGCTAAAACATGAAAAGGTGACATCCCTGGAATGTTTAAATCCCATAATCTATTAATGGTACTGGCATCACGGTGTGAGCTACAGCTCTTCCCCCACTCAAGGAGGTACGTATGAATTCTAAACAAAGGGTTCAATGTGGGGAGGAGGGGGTGTGGACTGGCTGCAGTGGTCTTCTGTTAAATAGTGGAAGGTGATTGGGGGTCTCCTAACTTTTACTCGCTCGGCTGTGCTGTAAATTAAGCTGGTTCATCTGAGCTTCTTCTAGACCACTGAGCTTTTTTAGACGCAGCTCATCTAGTTTTCTCCAAAGCTCCTGGCGTTCTTTTTCTCGCTTCATCTCCCTATTAGGAAAGAATTAGCACATATAGGTCAAGAGGTATACTCAGCTTAAATAAAACACAACTTAAAAGTGATACTAAACACACTTTGTTTAATTTACATTATCCATTCACTTTCCCTTTGTGGATGATGGCACTGTGATTATTTTAATTTAAAAAACAAAACATCTTTTTCCTAATAGATATACAGCTGTCACCAGACCCATCTCTTTCCCAGCCTGTCTGCAGAGAATCATAAGCAGGGGGAACTTCTAGTCTTCCACTACTGGTCACATGTTCAAAATTTAACAAAAACAACCTTTGGAATACTGAGTAAAAATAAATAAATGATATCAATAAACTGTTTTAAATTGGAATACAAATTTATATTGAAAATCAGATCTTTAATATTTTGTGGAAATAACATGGTGTGGGTAGATTTCTGCCAGTCACAGGCTGTGTCACACCCCTCCAGGACTGTGTCTTAAAATAAGAGGGAGGTGATTTCTCTGTTAATCTACATGCAATATCTCACCCCCCATTGTCTTTAGATGGTTAGTGGCCATGGAGGAAGAGGGAGAGCGTGGGCTGTCATTTACCACTGTGTATACGCCCAAATGTGTGACTCTATAGCCACATGGGCTGCTCAGCATAGAAACTCACTGATAACTAAGCATGTGCAGAGTTGTCTCTACAGCTGCAAAATCCCTAGCTGAATTAGGGACATAAACAGAAGGGGGAGATAGAGAACAGCAGGATCAACCAGACTTTATGCAGAATACAGAAAACGAATCTCATAGTGATGGAGTATGAATAGCATGCAATACAGCATTTATTGATAGTTTTTTTTTTATGTTTTGGGTTTAGCGACACTTTAAAAGAGTATGGGGTTAGCAAAAAAAAAAAAAATTACACTCACCTAGGTGGATGCATCATCGAGCCAATGCTGCCATCTCTCTCCTGCTACTTATAAGACCGCTGATTTCTCAGATCTTAGTCTTCACTGAGCAGAGATCTTGTGACTGTCAGTCACTGGCTCTCTACTGTGCCCCTTCGGACTGTGGAGGGAGTGGAGAGGCTGGCTCAGTCTCTCAGTGCCATGTTGAGAGGCTGAGCCAGCTGCCAGTCAGGCTTTTGGGTAGATCCTGACCATATGGCTAAAGCTGTATGGCTAAGGCCTGCTGCTGGCTAAAAATGGATCACAGGAGTGCAGTCCTGTGATCCATAGAAGCAGGGCCAAAAAAGCTTTGGTCATACATTTATTTTTAACGTACTAAAATAGCAGTCTGCGATGCCTTTGTAAGAAATTCCCTACATGCATTATTTTCCCTCAGAAGCCAAGGGTAAGGATGGTTGTACTATCTGGTTCAAAATTTTGTATTCTCAGCAATGTCAATATCATCTATCTAATGTATAATTTAAGCATAATCTAAAAAATGAGAATCCAGTTTCATGAGAAAACTAACTATGAATACTTCCTGCATGTACAAACATTAAGAATGCTTAGATCTACAGTAATCAGTGTGATTGGCATATAAAATGTGTGCAATGGGATTTATCATTTGGCCTCCCTTAACTCATTGTCTCCATGCATAGTGCGATGAGACGGTTAAGCCACCATTCTACTACAAAAATGGCAACCACCTCTGCTGGAGGCAGCTAATGGACACATTGGAAATTTTTATGTTCTGGTGTGTCATTGCACCTTTAAGGAGGAATGGACTGTCTCCAGGCATACCTGCCTTTAATTTATCCATTGCTATATATAATCCAACATGGAGGTTCCCATAGTCTGGACTTAGTCATTGAATTTTATGTTCACAATTGGGATTGATTATATCTTTCACATTTTTCTATATAAATTAGAATCTATTTGCACTTTTTATATTTGTTAAAAGCTTATTTTTTTTGTTCAATTTGTTCACCCGCAATATTGTATGTGGTTCAATGTGTGGTTTAAAAATTAGAAATTAGAATTCTTCACCCTGAAATGTGATATTACATTTGTAGAGGAGGTGAACATTAATCAAACGTTTCCTAGGGGTTGGGAATCACTGCACTATAGCAATGCAAAAATGAAAAACAAAATGCGTGTGTGAAGGCTGTTCTCAGTATATTGATTTGATTGCTTTATTTTCGAATTTAAACTAAGTGTACTTTTTAGAATCCTACATGACCTGTATTCTGCATTGCTTTTTGAAGCTGAATATCAATCTGCTTTCTCTAACCCCTAAAGGTCTTTAACTTTTATCACACTTTCCCAATTCTTGATTGAGTTGGAGCACCTTTGATCCACTCAGCTACTCTCCATGAAAGCTATTACACGGCTTAATATTTAGAGATTATACTTGCTGCCAGATGGTCATGCATTCACACATACATAGGTAACGGTTACCTCAAGTACAACTTTTAATGTGGAGCCTAACTATAGCTATTGCTAAACTGTTCCCTCTTCTTCCTCCTACTTATCCTACCTGTCCTGTATATATAAAAAAAGATCTGTATACCTATTTTAGGCGCTTCCATATACTGAGCTGCAGTATCACGTGACAAAACTGTGAGGTAAATATATAGATCTTTTTTATATGGATTTTTTTTTACTTTAAGCTTAAGTAGACATCTGAGTAGAATCCAGCTGAGTACATGGATGGTGACATCCAGTGGTCACATCAGTCAAGGTATTATACTACATGTAAGTTATTATGTAATCTTGTGTATTCAAAGAACTAGCATTTCACCTTGGTTAAGCATACAGTTTTTATAGCAGGACTTACTGTTGCCTGTCAAGTTTATAGGATGCTGTGAGTTCATCAAAGAGTTTCCCATTCATTTCCATAAAAGTCTTCAGGACATTATAAATCAGGGAGACAATTGTTCTAAAGAAGAAACAGAAGGAATCAACGATAGTTGAAAAGGCACTCAGGCATAAAGGATGTGAAAGTGTAAGGCCATGGTTTCTCAAATATCAAGTTCAAGAACATATTGCTGGATAAAAGGTAGAAATAGCTTAACCGCTTCCCAACCGCCCTATAGCAGATATACTGCTACAGGGCAGCACGGGTGCACACAATTTTATATATATATATATATATATATATATATATATATATATATATATACACACACACACACACACACATATACACGTCATTTTGCATTTTCGGCCGTGGCTGTCAATCACCGGGTCCCGGCTGGTGGGGTCCCGGCCGGTGATTACTTGCCGGTGCCCGGTAATTGCCGAGCATCTCTGACGGGGAGGAGAACTGTATGTGAACAATACAGTTCTCCTCCCTGTCAGCTCCTGCACACTGCTTTGGATAGCTGTACACAGCGCAGCCATCCAAAGAAGTGTGATTACAGTGAAGCACACACACAGAGCTTACAGTGAAACAGCACACAGTTAACCTTTTGATCGCCCCTCATGTTAACCTTTTCCTGCCCAGTGCCATTAGTACAGTGTCAGTGCTTTTTTTTTTTTAGCACTGATCACTGTATTGGTATCACTGGGGATGTTAGTGACACCAAGTCAGTTCCCCCCAGTGTCAGAATGCCCACCGCAGTCCCGCAGTCCTGCTATAAGTCACTGATTGCTGCCATTACTAGTAAACATAAAAAATTGAAAAAAAAAATACCAGTATCTGTACCGCCATTTAAAAACACTATAACTTTTATGTAAACCAATTAATTTACATGTATTGGGATTTTTTGTAGCAAAGACATGTGGCAGAATACATTTTGGCCTAAATTTATGACAAAATTTGATTTTTAAAATTTTTTACTGCACATGTTTAATAGCAAAAAGTAAAAAATATAGGGTTTTTTTTCTCAAAATTGTCAACTTTTTTTTTTTATTGCGCAAAAATTAAAAAACATACAGGCGATCAAATAGCAACAAAGAAAATGCAATTCATGGGAAAAAAAGGACTTAAATTTAATTTGGGTGCAGTGCTGCATGACCGCGCAATTGTCAGTTAAAGTAACACAGCTCCGTTACGTAAAAAATGGCCTGGTCAGGAAGGGCGGTAAATCCTCTGGAGGGCAAGTGGTAAAGTATAGCTATAGGCAAAACTTCTTTTGGATTAGAGGGGAATCTTCTACTAGGGTGAACATGGTGACAACAATAAATTTCCTCACTTTGGAAGGATTTCTTCTGGGACAGGAAGTGAGTCCATTCACACATGGAGCTGTGGCTTGGCCCTGCCCCCTCTCTCTCCTCATTGGCTGACTGGCTGTGATGGCTAGCAATGTCACCTGCTTGCTGTCTCAGCCAATGAGGAGGCAGAGACTCGGGACGGCCGAGGCTGTCATGCGCATTTATGGATCTCGATAGGGCTCAGGTAAGTATTGAGGGGGCTGGGGGGATGCTGCACCCAGAAGGTTTTTTACTTTCATGCATAGACTGCATGATGATAAAAAACCTTGGGCCTTTACAACCACTTTAATAAATAGTTTTAAACTATTTCCAACAACCACCTGAAGACCAGGCCTTTCCTGGCACTTTTTGTAACAATCAGTATTTTTTACTAGAAAATTTCATAGAACCCCCAAACAGTATATATTTTGTTTAAAGAAGAGGCCCTAGAGAATAAATTGGTGGGTGTTGCAATTTTTTTATGTCACAGAGTAATTACGCAGTGATTTTTCAAATGCAATTTTTTGGGGGAAAAATACACTTTATTGAATTTTAATGCAAAACAACAATATATATATAACCCAATTTTTTGGTAATACGAAAGATGGTGTGCAGCTACAGGCATCATCCCAGTATAACCACTTTTACGTGACGGGTTGTTACGTTGATTGGTAAAATATAAAAGATAATGTGCAGCTGTAGCCATCATCCTGGTATAACCACTTATACACGACTGGTCATCAAGTGGTTAAAAACAGGGATTTTCAGTGCACATTTGCAGATCTATGTGAAACCACACTGCCACACCAAGGCACCTCTGCAAAGTGTGGTCTCATTTTCCTTTTCAGTGGGCTTGAACTTCTGATGTGCTGTGGTGCTTTGAAAGAGAAGGAGTACCAATTATAAGATGGTTTGGAGCAGCTGCCATTTTTGTAGTATGTGGTACTACAAAAATCCTAGTTCAGGTGCTCATATACTTTATAGAGTTACAAAGATGTCATTGCGTGCGTGGCAATGTAGCTACACATTTAATTTCAATTGTATTGAAAAAAAAAAACCTCTAGTTTCTAGTTCTAGCTAGCTGGATCAAGTGCTGGGGAAAGTTTGTAATCTCTTACCTTGCTCCAGAAAGCAACACTCTTCATTGCCTCACTTTACAAGAGGAATGCTAAAGTATAACTAAAGGCAAACTTTTTTCCTTAAAATTGGGACGTATTTTTTTAGATTGTGGTGAGGAGTTCAAACTACTTTCAGGTTTGTATTGCTGTCTGTGTTAGGAAGAGCACTCTCAATAATTGTTTTGATCACCAGTGTCACCAATATTGAAATTGGGGGGTCAATCAAAAATTTTGGGTTGCCAACAGAACAGGGAAGCCTTCCAAAGGGGACACTTGCTCCCATTACAACTGTCTAGGAGAGAATTGCCCACACATTTGAAAGATTTCATTTTCCTCCCTGTTGAATCTATCAGATAGAAGTGATGGGCAGGAAAATCTCACTAAAAAGGCAGATGGAAAAACAATACTAGCAGGTTTACACTCCCCTATTCTATCTGAAAGGAAAAAAAATATACCTTCGCCTCCCTGCTGCCCCAATCTGCAGCATGAAAGCTTTGATTGTGCAAGTTTTAATTTGTTAAGACAAAAGCTAGCAGTGCTAGGCATGCTTCCCCATATGAGTAATTTTAGTGAAGAACTATCCATATAATTAGCTTTTCAGCAGCCTGTATAAAGTGAAATGCTGAAGTGATTTTACAATCACTTTAGCTTTTCATTTGGGACAGGCTCAGTTTCAGCTTTCCATTTTGTGAGAATGAGGTGTTCAAATCACCAAAGAAAATACGTTTCCATCTTTAATGAGCCAAGAAATGTTATAATATTGTGCAATGTGCAACTTTTTTTTAGCATGTGCAAGTAATAGTGCAGCTTGATGAGTCAGTCTGTGCTTGACATCCTTAGTCCTGAGAATCACTTCATATAATCAATCTATTACAGGCCTCCCATTATTGACATATTACAGCATGCTTCCTTCCTGGGACAGCACTTACTGGTTCCAGTGCTCCTTAGAGACTTGGTAGAGTGTGCCGAATATCAGTGGGAGGATGGTGTGACAGTTTTCCTCTATCAGACTCAGGATGTACTCATTGTTCCAGAAATAAAGTGCTCGCTCTGCAACCTGAAACAAGATATCAAGACAAATTATGTAGTAAAGCGGTATTAAACCCAAAACCAAAAGTGACTAAAGTAACGTAATGCGTAGGTGCAGTGACGCACTTGCAGTTCGGACGCCATCTTGCTGCACCCAATTGAACATACCCATGCAGATACACCCAGTACATGAGGTTCTAAATGCTTGTTTGCTAAAGATGACAATGTGAGTGCAAAATTTGAATTTCTTTGCTTAATATTGAGTTTAATAAAAGGTAATACACTATGGAAGGTTCTACCTATGTTTTTTGAGATACTGGCAATACCTTACTTGTATACCTGGAGAGGAGGATTTTGCTACTTACACGCACATCCCTGAGAGGGAGATCGCTGCAGGGAGAGATATCCAGAAATAGAGGAATCATATACATGTAAGATCCGGTTTAGTGATCCCAAAAGTGTTTTGACCCCCTGCGGGTCGAAGCAAGGAGGTGAACGGCCAATCCGGCTTTTGACGGATACTCTTCTGTGGTTACCCACATTCACCATCCACGTGCATGAGTGTTATCCTGTTTATTTGAATATATGGTGGTGTAGTACCACATTTGGACATTTTTTCACATTCTTACTTTTAGTTTGGAGTCATGCATTTTGCATGACGTAGTTATTTTTCACTATTGTATTTATCATTGGTTGTTTTTTTGTGTATGCATTGATTTGTATATGGAAACACTTTACAGTTTTTGGGATTCAGATATTTGGTTTTTGCATGTTTATGCACTTTTTTATGCACTTTTATGCGTTTCTTTCAATTTGAGTCCAAAATTTGGACGTGTCACCTATTAGTCCATTTTTTGGACTAAATTTATATATTCCTGTTTGTTCACACCATCACTTTGGATCCTAATTTAGGATTTATGCGCACTTACAGTTGGGCAAAAAAGTATTTAGTCAGCCACCAATTGTGCAAGTTCTCCCACTTAAAAAGATGAGAAAGGCCTGTAATTGGCATCTTAGGTAGACCTCAACTATGAGAGACAAAATGAGAAAAAAAAATCCAGACAATCACATTGGCTGATTTGGAAAGAATTTATTTGCAAATTATGGTGGAAAATAAGTGTTTGGTCAATATCAAAAGTTCATCTCAATACTTTGTTATATATCCTTTGTTGGCAATGACAGAGGTCAAACGTTTCCTGTAAGTCTTCACAAGGTTGGCACACACTGTTGCTGGTATGTTGGCCCATTCCTCCATGCAGATCTCCTCTAAAGCAGTGATGTTTTGGGGCTGTCGCTGGGCAACACGAACTTTCAACTCCCTCCAAAGGTTTTCTATGGGGTTGAGATCTGGAGACTAGCTAGGCCACTCCAGGACCTTGAAATGCTTCTTACGAAGCCACTCCTTCGTTGCCCAGGTGGTATGTTTGGGATCATTGTCATGTTGACAAGACCCAGCCACGTCTCAACTTCAATGCCCTTGCTGATGGAAGGAGGTTTGCACTCAAAATCTCACAATACATGGCCCCATTCATTCTGTCCTGTACATGGATCAGTTGTCCTGGTCCCTTTGCGGAGAAACAGCCCCAAAGCATGATGTTGCCACCCCCATGCTTCACAGTAGGTATGGTGTTCTTTGGATGCAACTCAGCATTCTCTCTCCTCCAAACACGACGAGTTGTGTTTCTACCAAACAGTTCTATTTTGGTTTCATCTAACCATATGACATTCTCCCAATCCTCTTCTGGATTATCCAAATGCTCTCTAGCAAACCTCAGACGGGCCCGGACATGTACTGGCTTAAGCAGGGGGACACGTCTGGCACTGCAGGATCTGAGTCCCTGGCGGCGTAGTGTGTTACTGATGGTAGCCTTTGTTACGTTGGTCCCAGCTCTCTGCAGGTCATTCACTAGGTCCCCCCGTGTGGTCCTGGGATTTTTGTTCACCGTTCTTGTGATCATTTTGACTCCACGGGGTGAGATCTTGCGTGGAGCCCCAGATCGAGGGAGATTATCAGTGGTCTTGTATGTCTTCTATTTTCTAATTATTGCTCCCACTGTTGATTTGTTCACACCAAGCTGCTTGCCTATTGCAGATTAAGTCTTCCCAGCCTGGTGCAGGTCTACAATTTTGTTTCTGATGTCCCTCGACAGCTCTTTGGTCTTCACCATAGTGGAGTTTGGAGTGTGACTGTTTGAGGTTGTGGACAGGTGTCTTTTATACTGATAACAAGTTCAAACAATTGCCAGGTAATGAGTACAGGACAGAGGAGCCTCTTAAAGAAGAAGGTACAGGTCTGTGAGAGCCAGAAATCTTGCTTGTTTGTAGGTGACCAAATACTTATTATCCACCATAATTTGCAAATAAATTCTTTCCAAATCAGCCAATGTAATTGTCTGGATTTTTTTTCTCATTTTGTCTCTCATAGTTGAGGTCTACCTATGATGCCAATGACAGGCCTCTCTCATCTTTTTAAGTGGGAAAACTTGCACAATTGGTGGCTGACTAAATACTTTTTTGCCCCACTGTATACCATACGCTTAGTATTGGTTTATAAACGTCTGCGATTACCATCATTGAGGTGGTGCAATAATCACTGTGTACACTTTTGAATCCATTGAGGATCGGTTCACTATTATATATTTGTAGATCCCTGGAGGATCAGGTCACTGTTTATGTTTTTTTGCACATTGTGTCACTTTATATATATGTACTTTTTATATACTATTTAAGTATTAAGTATTAGTTATAATATTATCAGAGTAGCGCTGCATCATTTCCTTTATTTCAGTTTGTTTTTGGGTTTAATACCACTTTAAGGCTGAAAACAAAAGCTGATGAATTGAAAGTAGCATGTAACAGATAGACACATGTAATATGCATAAAATTATTTTTTTGTAGCAATATGACTGTTATGTACCTGAAAGTGAGGACTGGAAATACAGCGAGCGATCTGTTTAAATAGTGGCTCTTGAATTTTCACAAATTGGGAGGGTTCAATGACATCTAGAATTTCCTCCAACTCTCCAAGGAACATTACCTGCCAGAAGACACACACATTTAAATACACAACAGGAGTATGACTCTGGGGTTTAATGTGTGAGTGCAGCATTACCTACTTTCATCATTTACTGTCATCTCCCCAATTTACTTCTTTGCCAAGAAACATGCTCATTGTGCTATATGATTCTCTTTGGCTAATTTTACTATCTCCCAAGAGATAGTACAATACAAAAAATCAATTCAGTTTCAGGACATATAATCTGTCGATCAGTTTCTCAATGTTATTCAGGTCATATTCATTTAATTTGCATGTGTGTTTTTTATATGGGTGCAATATTAGGAATAATGCGACCATACTGTAAAATAGAGCAAATATATATTAAAATCTACCCTTTGTTAGAAGCATGCATGAGTATAAATAATGTATTTAAAAAAAAATAAAAAATGCTGGTATACAAAGGCTAATAGTCTTGCGGATGCTACAAAGGGGTACTTTGCAAGGGTTTTCAGTGCCTGCCAAATTGCCCCTGAATGCTTGCTAGGAAAGGGTTCATTCTGAGTCAGTGACCAGAAATGTATACAGATCAGGGAACTCAAAAGTCCTTACCTGCATGCTTGATTTGGCTAAATATCTCTAAATACTAAAACTAGAGGATCAAGCATGGCACCATGGCAACTATTATTTCCAGAAGGAGAAATCTGCAATGGCATCCTCCATGTTCCTTCCATGACAGATTTCCAGGTCTGGCTTTACAAGTGGTGATTGGTAGATTAAAATTATCCTCCATCTAATTATTTTTTCACTCGACTATTACATGATGAAATGGAAGAATTGTTCATTTGTGGAGCCATGGAATTTATTGCAGTATTTTTTTGTTTGAAATATTACATTGATATTTAGGGGGAGATTTACTAAAACTGGAGCATTCGGAATCTAGAGCAGTTGTGTATGGTAATCAATCAGCTTTCAACTTGTTCAATTAAGCTTTGACAATTAAACCTGGAAGCTGAGCTGCATCAGATTCTGCACACTCCAGTTTTAGTGAACCTTCCCTTTGTGTTTCATTTATAGAACCTGGGTTCTCCCCAGATAGGTTAACAAGTGCAATCAATTTATATTATTATTATAACTGTGTAAAAAGTTCCTATTTGTATGTGCTTGTTAGTTTATATACCAGCTTTAACTGGCATTTACATTTCACTGCAGGGGTTATGTGATTTAGCACTGCACCTTTGTATTAAAAACATATTGGAGGATCAAAGTATTAATAGAAGTTGTTTCTCTACATGTTTGTATTTTTGCATGGTTATATATTGTGAATTGTGTAGTCCTAAATGCAATATTGTATATACTTTCTGTCACAAATATTAGGGCAACTTTAAAAACTCAAGTCCAAGTATACAGTATGTAACATATTTCCCGTTTGTGGATAAACATACTGTACAGTGCTTCTAGTATATATTGTAAAAATACTAAATTTTTACTATTTAATTTTCATACAATATATAGATGATTCTTTGTTCATTATAACTGTGGTTTACCTCCTTTTGAGTGCAGGTTTTTGGCCAATACTTTAGCAAACCTCGAATTACCTGTAAAGATAAACATTGTTATTTCCATTTAAAATGTATTTGCTTCAGCTGCTCGCAGTTTTCTAACTGAGTCTTTATACTACTATTCCCAGCAAGACACATTTGGCAAATGTCTAAATGCCAAAACAAATTAGTGGTGTTACCATTAGTAACCTATCATTTTTCATTGTTGTTGCATACACTTGTCATTAATGGGCAAATGTTACTTTTTATCCATGTTGTAAATATCAAATTCATAGTATTAGTGTAGCTGAGTAGGAAGATTAATATAAATAGTTGTGTCTGAAGCAATAAGATGGCCAGTACATGGCAAGGATTAGGTGACAATACTGGAGCTAGAAATTAAGTTGAATACACTTCGTATATCTAAGTTATGGCAATAATAGTGTAGTATGCTTTTATTCTGCAAGAATCAATTTCAGTGGCGACATAAGCGATGTTTTAAAAAATAAAGTTTCATCAGTACAATGCAAACAATATAAAAACATCATTATACTGTATATTTATTAATGACAAATTAATGGATAGACAGTGCATGCAGCGCTATTATTAATAAATATGAAGTACAGAGCTACACCTGTTGAGCGTTATACATTTAGCTTTAACATCTTTTTATCAGCGTTAAACAGTTATGAGATTATTTAATAAGAATATGAACTTATTTGGTAAGAAAAAGTGCAATGAGCTGCAATTCATTGCAAGCAACCAACAATCATCTTTCATTGATCTGAGTCTTGGGATTGCTTTGAGTAACAGCATTTAGCACCTCATCACTGTTCTTTGTACTCCCTTATTTAAGAAACATGTGCACAAGGATGAGCAAACCCAAGCTCAATTTTTACAGGAACCATTGATATATTTGCATATACATTCAGCTGTCTATATCTCAGGATCTACAGATTATTTTGGCATCACAGAGAGTGAGTTTAGAATAACCGTATTAAAAAAACCCCCAAAAAACTTTATTTCTACCACCTGCACTCTCCAGCTTCTTTTTTTTACTCATTACCAATATCGCATGACCATGAATTAGGAAGGGCGTATAGACTGATTGGTATTGTGAGCTTTGGTTAGAAAACACACTATCATGTACCTGGTGTTAGAGGCCAATGGAGAGAGGGCTTCCCTTGCGGCTAAGTTCCAGACTCCCCTGAGAGTGGGATAGCAGGAGTCAGGCTCAAAGTGGCACAGGTTGTCTGTAGGAGTGCTCGTTGGTGGTCCACCCAGGAGCACAGCTGATGCACTGAGATGGGATCTGCAGACAGGTGGTGCCTGTGCGAGGTATGCAAGCCTTCCGGGTAACAGAGGATCACAGGATAACCAGTTCAAAGTTGAGGTCAGGTACCAAGTGGAAATCAGAGCAGACGTAGTCAGATGGGATAGCCGAGGTCAAACACAGAGGAGCAAGAGGGAATATCTGTTAGCCAAGGCGAGATCAGATCAGGGCTTAAGCAGAGAAGACAGGTCCAAGAGCAAGCCGAGTCGGTATCAGGAAATCACAGATCACAATAGCACAGGAACAGGACCAAGGTACTGGGAAGCCAGAGATCAACCAGCACCTGAGAGTAGGGCAGGGCTTCCTTATAAAGGCCGTTTGGAGCCAAATTTGAGCTGATGTGAACTTCTGTGTCCATGCAAGGTACTGGCAGGGGTGCCAGGTCTCCTAACACCTCTGCTGAGGACAGAGCCCTGACAGTGCCCCCCCCCCCCAAAGGGCAGCCTCTGGATGCCTACTTGGGCCATCTTGTCTGGATATTTGGAGCAAAACTCTTGGAGAAGTGTGGGGGCATGTACATTGTCCTTTGGTTCCCAGGAGCTTTCTTCAGGAGGATACCCCTTCCAATTGATCAAGAATTGGATTTGTCTTTCCAGTTTCCTGCAGTCCAGGATTGATTCTACCTTGTATTCTGCCTCCTCCCCAACTGTCATTGGTGGTGGAGGTGGTTCCATTCTTCCTGGAAATGGGTCATGAACAGCTGGCTTGAGCAGAGAGACATGGAAGACTGGATGAATCCTGTATGATTTGGGAAGGGATAGTTCATATGCTACTGGATTGATTTCTCATTTTATTTGGAAGGGGGTAATGTATCTTGGACCCAATTTTCGTGATGGGCAAGGAAGTTGTAAGTTGGCTGCTGACAACCAAACCTTGTCTCCGACCTTTAGAGCAGGATTTCCCGTTTCTTGTCATAGTACTTTTTATAGTCTGTATGTGATCATTGTATGGATTCTTAGAAAGCTTGATAGCTGTCCTGTATCCTGATAAGTCTGTCCTGTACTGCGGGTACTGAGGCTTCGAGTATGGTACCCGGAAGGCAGGAAGGGTGTAATCCATAATTAGCCCAGAATCGTGACTTATTCATAGCAGAATGGATAGAATTTTTGTAGGCAAATTCTACCAACGAGAGCAGGGACGTCCAGTCATCCTGGGAAACGGTGGAGAAACATCGTAGATATTGTTCTAAAGTTTGGTTTGTCCACTCTGTTTGGCCATTACTTTGAGGGTGGTAAGTAGATGATAGACAGAGTTCCACTTTCAGTGTTTTGCACAGGGCTCTCCAGAACCTGGAGGTAAATTTCACCCTCGGTCAGAAACAATATTGCTGGGTAGTCCGTGTAGCCTCACAATCTCCTTGATAAAGGCACGTGCTGTCTCAGGCGAAACGGGGTACCTATCATTGGCAGGAAGTGGGCCATTTTGGATAGCCGATCTATCACCACTAGGATGGTAGTAAACCCCTCAAAGGGCGGCAAGTTTACAATAAAGTCCATTGCAATCATTTCCCAGGGGCGATTAAAAATGGGCAGGGGTCTCAGTAGCCCCCATGCCTTGGTTTTGTCTCCCTTGCTGCGTAGGCACACTGTGCAGGATTTAATGTAGGCTCTGCAGTCCTGACTTAAGTTGGGCCACCAAAAGGACCGTTGGATCAGTTCCATAGTTTTACAGGCCCCAAAGTGTCCAGGAGGTAAGATCCTAGGTTTTCAGGACAAAGATCTTATCCTGGTCTCACAGAAAGCCACTCTGCCTCTTTAACGAGTCTGGTACGGGTTCGGAGTAGCGTGCCAAGGCCTGTTCAATTGATGATCTTAGACTGGGTTGGATTAGCAAAAAAGTTTGGGTAGACAGGATGGTGTCAGGGGGCGAAGGTTCAACTGAATCTGGGAACATATGGGATAGAGCGTCTGCCTTCCCATTCTTGGTTCCTGGGTGGTAGGTTATATGAAAATTGAGTCTAGAAAAGTATAAGGCCCATCTAGCTTGCCGGGGTCTTAGGCGTTTGGCGGATCTTAAATATTCTAGATTCCTATGATCTGTGAAGATCATAATCGGGTGACTAGCTCCTTCCAAAAAGGTACCTCCATCCTTCGAAGGCCGTTTTGATTGCCAGAAGTTCCCTGTCGCCTACGTCGTAGGGCTTTTCTGCTTGGCTTAGTTTCCTGGAACAAAAGGCTACCGGATGGAGCAGGGCTTTTGGACCTTGGCGTTGCGAGAGCACGGCTCCTGTAGGCACCTCCGATGCGTCCAGCTCCAGGATGAAAGGAAGTGTTGGTTCCAGGTCTTGTAGCACAGGAGCCGATGTAAATTGCTTCTTTAGTTGCCCGAAGGCTATTTATGCTTCCGGGCTCCAGAAAATCCGTGCATGCTGGCGGGTGAGTTGAGTAATCGGGGCAATAATGGTTGAAAAGTCTTGGATAAACTTCCGATAGAAGTTGGCAAAGCCCACAAATCTTTGGACCCCTTTCTTGTCAGTAGGTGCAGGCCACTCCAAGATGGCGGAGATTTTCTGAGGATCCATGGAGATTCTTTCAGTGGAGATGATTAACCCCCGGGAACTGGATAGACTGTTTCTCAAACTCGCACTTCTTCGCCTTAGCGTACAGGCCATGCATCCTCAGCGTAGTCAGTACCTTTTTAACATGGTCTCGGTGGATTTCCAGAGAGTTCGAGAAAATTAAGATGTTGTCCAGGTAGACGATCAAGAAGAGATCGAGGTATTCCCTGAAGATGTCATTTACGAAGTGTTGGAACATCGCAGAGGCATTGCATAATCCAAACGGCATCACCAGGTACTCGAAGTGCCCAAAGCGTGTTCTGAAGGCGGTTTTCCACTCATCACCTTTCCTAATGCGAACTAAATTGTAGGCCCCTCGTAAATCTAGTTTAGTGAACACTTGGGCTGTCAGGAACCTCTGAAATAACTCGGGAACTAGAGGGAGTAGGTACCAATTCTTAATGGTGATCTTGTTGAGCTCTCTATAGTCGATGCAAGGTCGGAGAGATTGATCCTTCTTCTCAACGAAGAAAATACCTACCCCGGCAGGGGAGGAAAAAGGGCGGATGAATCCTTTGGCAAGGTTCTCGTCGATATATTGCCGGAGGGCTTCCAGCTCCAGTTCGGACAATGGGAAAATTCATCCAAATAGTATTTCTGCCCCTGGAAGCAATTCAATAGGGCAGTAATAGGATCGATGAGAAGGCAAAGTGTCAGCCTTTTTCTTATCGAACATGTCCAGGAAGCTGTGGTAGGCAGAGGAAACAGATTGACTGGCATCTGAAGTAGGCTGAACTGAGAGGCACACAGGGACATTGGAGGGTGTGGAGCTGCTGCAGTGTTGAAGGCAGTAACTTGATGGGAAGGTAATTTCTTTCCTGGGCCAGTCGATTTATGGGTTGTGGGTTTGCAACCAAGGTATTCCTAGGATGGCTGGGAACATAGGGGATCTAAGGACATCGAAGCAGATGAATTCCTGGTGGCCGGAATCTGTTGTCGCTAGGATGGAAATGGTTTCCTGGGTAACGGTTCCTGAACTACGGGTGGTGCCATCTGCCAGTAATACATCCAGCCTTTGTTTCTTAGGAAGCAGCGGAATTTCTAGGTTCTTGGCAAGGTGTTGATGTCAGAAGCAGCTACAAGCCCCTGAATCAACGATTGCCTGCAACTTGACTTCCCTTCCAGCCACCTGTAATAACATGGGTAGAATGACATGGGTGGTTAGGG